TTGATACTATAAAATTTGCTTTGTGTGTGTTTAATTATTTATATTGCTTTGAATCCATGCTTGCCCCATCTACTTTTGCCGGGGATTGGGAAACAGTTGGCACAAGAATCGTCGAGATATAAAGGAAACAACAAAATCTTCTTTCACAACTTATAGTGAAAGTTACCCTGCAGGTTCTCAGTTTATCTCGTCTAGCAGGACATCCATACTTGTGCTTTAATCAAATACACAAAACTCCCCCACTTGAGCAAGTTGGCATGTGTCTGCATCAAACCTCTAATTAAGTAGCACCAGTCTGCTTAATTATCATGCTCGTTTCATCATTCGTAGCTTTTATTTTAAATTAAGAAAAAAAAGATATCAGGCGTGTCGCTGACTCAAGTGATTCCCATAACATGTTACAATTAGGGGTCAGTGCCAACCAATCCACGACCTTGATTTCTCACCCTAATTTTCCATGTATCCCCGTTTTAACTTTAGCCCAAATTAATGTCAGTCATCGCTCAGTATGATGTAAAAACATCATTTATTTCCATCTAAGTTTAGTTTTCCAATAGTGATTGGAGACTTGTGCTACTTCACGTATCATTAAGTGCTTTACAGAATTCTTTAAAAGATAGATTAATTTCATCTTTATCTTTTCAAATTACATTATGATTATTAGAAATTTTACTAATTTTAATATTATTGGCAAAACTCTTTTAATCCGACCGAACAGATGAACTCAATCATCTTATATTGCTTTCACTGCGAAGTTAATTGTTAATTATAAGACGCCAAGATCACTGTTTACTTGTCCTCGATCGGGCTGGAATTTTGATATTCTTATAGCTAATTCAGAGCAAGAATTGAAGATTTTTTTCGTAAATAACCAATGCTCCTGGCCTGCCAACGTGTTTATAACATTCCAGTTCGTCGAACAAGGACATCGCCTATCTACCTGTAATTATTCCACCGAGGAACACTGGAAATTTGGTTTCGAGTTTCAGGATGAATACCAAATTTAACAGATTCATACACTTAATTATGGCCATCATCGTTGATGTGTACAACTTCCATGTGTGATTTTCTTTCTTTGTTTCTTTGTTCTTCATACAGAACCCTTTATTTAATCATGTCAAACTACACTCTCATGAGCGATTCATTCACTAGATAACAACCAAATTGCTCTATGCCTATGAATTTGGAGGATCAAATTCATTAACAACATTTTACTCATTTTAGAAGTTAATTATCCTCACCCAAAACTTCATTAATCATTAGATCAGGCTAAAAAAGTTTCCTTGTATGCATGCGCGTTTCTCACATGGTGATCCATTCAATTGATGTCGCCATATCTTCTCATTCTAGGATGTATTGAAACATCAAGTTTCGTTGCCATGTGAATAAAGAATGATACAGAGCCGTTCGAAATTATGGGGGATTTATTGAAACATCAAGCCTCTAATGAATCTCTAATTTTGGAGTGAAAAGAAAAAACACCAGAAGCCAGATTGGCATCCCGGCCCCTTATCCTTCTGCTCTATTTTTCCGTTTAGTTCTCCCCAACATGTATATGATCTTAAGCGAGATGCAAATTAGCATGCTTCCTACCTTGCTAATTGTTTGCATATCAAGGTCCACGTCCACACCAGCCCTTGTTTCCCCTCTCTGGGACAAGATGGTCCCGGGTTCCAGCCAAGGTCCGGCTCCACCATGCAAGCCATGGGCTCAAACCAACCAGCTAGTAACCAAACTCACGAGTCAGATCACAGGTGCTGCACAGTGTAATTATCAAAGCGAAATTGATAAAGCATGAGCAATTCATATCCACATAGCACTTGTACACTCCTCCAAGAAAAATTAAGTGACCAAAATCACGAGTCAGATCACAGGTGCTGCACAGGGTAATTATCAGAACGAAATTGATAAAGCACGAGCAATTCATATCCACATAGCTCTTGTACAATCCTCCAAGAAAAATTACAAAACTAAATGCAGCAACCATATGTTTTTCCAACCGAGAATAAATTTATTTTGTTCCTTTTTTCCAAAAAGCCAAACACTGATGAACATGCTAGTGATGTTAAGGCCTCATTGGCCCCACAAGTCATGATCGTTTATAACTTCAGCACCAAGTCCCTGAAATTGCAAGCTTCTTGGTGAACTGTTAATGCAGGACATATATATATTGTTGTAGGTGCTGTTTTCGTAGCGGATTAATTTGTTCCATCTCGGGGAGAGCAAGTCTCGGTGCCCTTTGCATCGTCCAAAAGCACTTTCTACCAATCTCCGCTTCACAAGTGCCCTCAGAATTTTATCAACGGCCACTATGAGTCTTCATAAATATTTGGTCATTAATGACCCGTCCAAGTTGAAGCAAATGATAAGTTACTTCGCCATTGACGCCCACAAAACTCACGATGTAACCAGTTCTGTTTTTAGGGTTGGCTTTTCAAAAAAATTATTTTGTAGATGCACCAAGCTAGTTGAAGATGTATTTTTAAAATCATTTAAAAAATTATTTTTTTCTTTGTATGAGCAAAAGAAAAAAAAAGTCTTGAACAACAATTCAAGACTCATTTGTAATGTTGTCTTGGATCTTGAAGACAATTTTTCAATGGACCACGAATAGTTCGAAACTAACCCTATATATCCGTTTCTGGTTCGTTTTTAATATTGTGATATTTGATATTAATTTATCCTTTAATCAGATTATATTACTTGACAAATCGTAAATTTATTTTTAATCCCTGTATGGATGAATACAGATAGCACATCATAAATATTGAAAAGAAATAAAATATAATCCATCAATAAAATATTTTTTTTGGTGGTTGGACAATGAATAAAACTATTTACTGCAATTATTTTCTTTTTAAAAATATAAAAAACGAATAAAAAATGTTAGCATTAATTAAGATACAATAATATTTTTTTTTTCACGGCAAGCTATTTACTGCAGTTATATATTCTTATTTAAAACATGAAAAACTCAGCTATGAACCATAAAAAATATCATGCATATTGATGGTTTTGTTAGCTTCAGATAATCTAAAATGGCAGTTTAATGTATGACTTGCTTTTGGTTAAAACAATAGATTTAACCCAAAATTTAACTATTAAATGTGTGTTTTAAAAGATCAACAGTCGCTAAGATTTAATCCACGAACAAACCCTATCTACCAAATATAGATGATTTCATGCTAACATCACAGTGGCGCGCATCTCTACCCCAGTTAGAGATCATAAGTTACAATAACAACGATGCATTGGGTTTGGGACATTGTTGTCGTGTGCTGCAACTTTTTTTTTTTATTGAGCAAACTAGAGTTGCCCATTTGTTAGTCCATCAGTTACACTAATTCTGATGGTTAGATTAATCTCGACAAACACAACTTTAGATGAGGAGAAGCTGCTTCAGTGCTGGTTGTCGCTAATATTATAACGAAGAGATAGGGTTTCCTACAAGAGAAAGTGTAAGACTTGCGGACAAGCAATATTGAGAGATCCAGAGCCTTTAACTTGCTAAAAGTGGATGGAGGACCATAGAATAGACATTAGTGTCGCTTTTGACACCAATTATTAGCCAGCTACGATGACTGTTCAGACCCCATCTGTGGGAGAAGGGGACAAAGTTTAGATGTGGACCATTTTCGAGGAATTAGGTCTAGCTGTGTATAATGTACGTGCAATGATTAGCAGGTAAGTTTCTGGTTTCCAATGCCTCAACGTGTGGTTGCAAAATTATGGATTTCTCAAAAACAAAATACTAGCGCCTCAGAAACAAAATGATAGTGCTTCAAAAAAACAAAATATTAGGGTCCCATTTTGTCCATTAAATTTACGAAGTGACCCATCTTGCATAGGGCACCCTACATACTTGTCCAGTAGCAATGAGGGGCTATCATTTTGGCCCACAACAGGAGAATGACAGTTGAGGAACCTGTCCTCTCGTGAAATATTAAAATTATAGGAAATTTGGCCTGTACTGAAAAGGCGCCATGCTTCGTTTCTGGGTGGATGAATCTCTAGCTGCATTTCTGGCGGGCTGATACTGCACACAGCTCGCTCTTTACATCTCTGTCCCACTGACTACTGTTACCCTCTGAAGCAATAGATATTTTCCATTTCTTTCTGTTTTGTTTCCTGTGCTATAACGAGAGAGACAAAGCATCGTATTAAGATATTTAATTCATATAAAAATAAGGAATTTTACTTGCAGTCATTAGTGTTAAAGGCCAGAAAGTGTCCCATCTGCTGTCCAAATTAAGATATTTTACAAGAATGATCGGGTTTTACATGTGAAGGCAGAGCTTAATGTGACGTATGCAGATATTTTAAATCGTCCCTATAGCATGGTTTTTTCCTTTTTTAATGAGAACAAATAATATTTGGTGTAGAAATCTAAGTATATTAATCAATTAATTAAATGCTAATTTGATCTCGCTAGCCCTTCATTTCAAAGCGCGTGAAAACGAAATTGGAATCGCTATTGTTAGAGAAGGACGGCGGGCCGTGGCCCAGTACCTGGAACTAAAATTAAAAAAAAAACTTTTCATTCGTTTGATAGCGGGTGGGCTGGGGTTTGACTGCCAGCCCATTAAAAAGCTCTGATTTGGGCTCAGCCTTTTCTCCACTCAGCAAATATTTAGCCCGGACTACAAAGAGGAGCCCAAACCAAGCCATCGTATCAGATTTCACATTAGAAGTTAAAACCACGTCTGCATCCATACATATTTAAAAAATAAAAAATCTTTATTTTAATATATTTTTAAATAAAAAATAATTTAAATCATCACCGCTATCATAATTCTATATACACCCTTACCTCTGAGAATTTAGTGTGGCTAGAACACTGGCTTAATTGACGAATAAATTGATTAGAAATTAAAACTTAAAAATCTTTAACAGAATCCAAACTGATAGAAGAGATATTCCAGGAGAATTTCTTATCTTTAAGCTTTTTATTATTTAAAGTGATATGCATAAACCAATAAACGACAAACCCTAGCTACCTATACCTTTTTCTTCTTCGTTTTTTGTTCCTCGGAGCCTCCCTCTCCCCTTGATCACTCTCTATACTGAGGAATAACAACAGAAAGCAAAAATATATATATGAAGACAACTCTCTTCATTACATGCATTGTGGCCACGCTGGCTGTGCTGGCAAAGAGTGCGCAACATGGATCGCCTCCAGAATCACCAGCACCGGCACCATCAGTAGATTGTAGCGATGTTGCATTTGACATGTTGGATTGTGTAACCTATTTGTCAGATGGCAATGCGGAGAAGCCCACTGATTCTTGCTGTGCTGGGTTTGAAGCAGTGCTTAGTCTGGATGATGAGTGCTTGTGTTTTGCATTAAAGCATAGTGCAGATTTTGGCGTTGCTGTGAATCTTACTAGGGCTGCAGCTTTATCTTCTGAGTGTGGAGTGTCTGCTCCTCCTCTTAGTAAATGTGGCGGTGAGTCATTTAATACTAGCATGTTCCATTTGACTGGAATTATTTATAATGTTTTTAATAATTTTTTTATTGAATGATCTGCTTGTTCTGCATGAACGTAGTCTCCGTGCCTCCTACCGGTGCACCTGGTACTTTTTTTATTATGTTTTTGCAATCTCAATCTGAAAATGTTTCATCTTTCTTTCTTTTTTATAATAATGAATAATCTGAAAGATCTACTTTATATTTTTATTTATTTATCCCGTAAAACATGAATGGTGTACGTATACTACTTTCAGCTTGAAAATACACGTCGCCAAGATTATTAAAAAAACTGACAACTGTGGAATTCGGGATTTGATGTAGGCTGCATCTTTGTTTGAGGTTTAATGCTGCCTTCTCTCCTTATCTGAGAAATAAGATAACAAATCCTTATATCCTCTAAACAACGAATTTAATTTGTGAAAACGTGAGGTGCTGCAGAACAAGATTATTAACAGTCTCGTAATTATATTATCATGACCGATGACCGATGACATTCAATGATTTCAATCTGTTATAAGGAGTTCAACTGTTAATCTTTGTTATAAGCTTGAACATTTTTTTTGTGTGGCTAATGTTTATGCAGCTAACACTCCATCCTCTGCACCAGAGCCAGCTGCACCAACTCCTGTTATAGAGCCACCAACAAATGACCAACCTTCAGCCCCAGCTGCAGCGCCATCGAACAGTAGTGATGATGATGGGAGATCAGCAGCAGCTCCAGTAACTAGTGATGTACCAGCACAAGCACCAGCAAAAGGGACGGCATATGCTGTCTCTGCACCCTCTTTGGTTCTTATTAGCTCCGCTGTTGCTTCCGCTCTTTCTCTGTTTCTGTGGATTTGAAATACAAGATGCTGGCTTTTACCACCTTGTTTTTATTGTTTAGGTTCTTGTTTAGTTTTGAACTTACTGGATAGTACGTATATGCCTTCCTGTTCTTGTTCTGTTAAATAGAAGATCTTTGGTTTCTTGAATTTGATTCAGACATTTTTTTTTCTTACTTCTAATAAAATTTCTTTACCCAGTTCAATTTTAGAATTATATCGTATTGTCCATGATGATTTCCTTTTATCTTTTTTGGAAGTTGAGGTTCCTATTAATAATCTTCTTCGTACAGGGAGAAACGAGTAGGTTCACATTTCCATATTTAACAAAGCATATGTACAGGGAATGGGAGAAATATTGTAGCTATGTATATAACATACAGTGAATTATAATATTGACTGGTAGTTTTGTCCTTCACTGTATCAATTTAGAAAGGCTGAGTTTAAGGATAAAATGAATTTTTTTTTTATGTGATTCATTTGTTATTAATATTTTTATTAGAGGTCTCATATTTTTTATAATAATGAAATATTACTTTCACTGTCCTTAAAGTCAAAAATAAAATAATTGATTGTTAGGGGTGCTTTTGATATATATTTTTTTTTGTATAGTTTAATTGCTAACTTACCATGGGAGTAAAAAAAAAAAAGGCTTGCTTTGTACTAACTTACCATGGGAGTAAAAAAAAAAAAAAAGGCTTGCTTTATGGGAGTAAAAAAAAAAAGGCTTGCTTTGTGGTATTTTTTTATTTTTCATGTTGTTTTTTTTAGAATTGGCTGTTAACAAAACAAATAGCCAAAATAGTTATTTATTTAGCTTACTCATTGAAACATGAATAAAAATAAATAAATAGGCAAAATAGTTTTAGCTCTCCGTATAACTCGTCCGTTGGAGCTGCTCTTAGACGGGGGAATGTGCAGCATCTTGCGGCAGTAAAGGATTATCTTCTGCCATGTCATTAGATTTCTCCGACGTCCTCTTCTTCTAACGGCTGGTTGTGTTTGGTCTTTAAAAATAGGTTGTTGCCAAAGCCTTTTTTTTCTATCTCTTTGTTTTTTTATTACCTATTGAAATTCACGCCTGCCTGATAATTAAAATTTTATAATAGTCCACTTGGTTGGAGATATTTTAATTTTAATATTTATTTTTTTATTTGTTATATTTTTATCTTTTTGCAAGTTTTTGTTTTATTTTTCAATTTATCCTTCAATCTACATTTTTTGTTTATCATTTTTTTAGATTTGATCTGGTTCTTTTTTCTCTCTTGTTTTTTATAAACTTTTAATTGTTTTTAATTTTATCATCTAATAGAAAATATTTAATTTTAATTTTTTTTAAAAAAAATTGGTCCTCATTGTGGTTTCTTCTTTTAATTCTTTTTGTAAAAATAATTTTATTTTTAATTTAGCCCTTCGATTTAAAATTATTCATCCTTTTTTTTAATTTAATCTTTATTTTTTTTATTTTGATTATTAATTTTATAATTGATTTTTTTTCAAGTTAATCGTTCAACATTTGATTTTTTAAGATTTGGGATTAATTAATGGCTTTTTAGGTTTGATGCTTCTAATTAAATAGCTCAGGTAATAAGTTTTACAGGTTAATACAAGTTCTTATTTTATTTATGAACTTTTTTTTTAATCTCATCACTATAGTTGTAGTTGTTTTTTTAAAAAAAATTAGCTTTATAGTTTTCTTTATTATCTTTTTATAGGGTTATCTGGATCATGACATAGCATGTGGGCTTAACGGGTTAATTCAAGTAGACTCGTTTTTTTTTTATCCTTTTAGTTACTGTTTTTTTCTTTAGAATTTGTTTATGATTATTTTTTTAATCATAGTTTTTAATATTTAATTTTGTCTAGCTTTATAATTTTTTTTTAAAATAAACTTTTTTTATCCAGCAAGTGATGGAGTGCGGAACACATAACTAATTTTTTTATTCTTTAAACAATGAATAGATTACGGAATAATATCTCCTCGATTGATCTGTGTTTGCGAATTTTGATGAATAGTTTGTGTCATTTGAAAAATCCTTTTGAGCTCCCAAATTTATTCGGCCCCTGCGAACCGGTGTCGGTGTATGGCGTGAAGATAACTCGAGGACGGCAGAAAAGAAAGGGAAAACGGCAGGCATGGATGGTATGGCGTGGAGATAACCAACCAAAAGTTTGGTTTGTTCAGTCATCGTCCAAGGCCCAGCCTCCCCCGTCAATTGAGTCATGCGCGTGCGTGCATATAATTTTGATGTACAAAAATATTGATAATTTAAATATCAAATGAAATATATGTGTTTTTTTAATATATTATCTTATAAATATAATAAATTATTAAAATATCACATTGATTTATCGATTATTAATTTATCAAAATTCTAGCATACTAACCTTCAACCTGTCCAATTAAGCAATTAAAAGTGTATATCTCATGTGATTTTATATATATATTGGTGGATGAATGCTGCCATGTGACAGCCCTCCTGGTAATACTTCATTTAGATTATCAGAATTCAAGTACGTGCAGAAAAATGCATTAATTAATGTTACAAGTACAGAATAAAACTTCATAAAAATTGGCATGACGTTAACACTTTTTTCTTAAAAAACAAATGATAGCAAATTCGAGAAAAAATAAGGTAAATAGTCTATGGGCATGAGATTTATTAATGTTTTTATTCGAATACATATAATTATAATTATGACCATGATAATATAGTCAAATTATTACATAACTGATTATAAAAAAAATTGAATATTTTTCATGAGGCATACAACTAATTTAATAGAATATCAATAAATATACCATCGAATTGTGCAAAGAACTATAAGTTAAAGTTGGTTTAATGACACTAGGGGTCTCTATGATATTGATTTCTAGCAAAGACATCCTTGTGGTTTCAATTTGAGCAACTATTATGATTTTTCTGTTAGGCTGTAGAGGTCCTTTCATAAAAAAATCAACCTACTTTTCTGTTGATTTTACCTTTAAAAGTATGGAGAGATGCGAGTCAGATTTTTAATTGCTGTGATTTTAGGGGAAAATGATTAAAATTTTTATAACAATAACAAAAAATTACCACTTGGCCACCACCTAGATGGTTAACCTATTATGATTTTTCTGTTAGGTTGTAGAGGTCCTTTCATAAAAAAATCAACCTACTTTTCTGTTAATTTTACCTTTAAAAGTATAGAGAGATGCGAGTCAGATTTTTAATTGTTGTAATTTTAGGGGAAAATGATTAAAAATTTTATAACAATAACAAAAAATCCAAAAAAAAAACTTGTTTAATATTATTGAATTTTTATATTATATTTGATGTCTATTTTTTTATCATTTTTTTAGAACTGGGACATGGGTTGCCCCTATTATATCCCTTGTGATTATTTTAGATTTTTTATTTTAATTTTATTATTCGACATTTAATTTATAGAGATTTTTATATTATTATTTTTTAATTTTTATTCTATGAAATAATTTTATTTTTATGATTTGGGTCACGAGTTTAAAATATTATTTTAAGTTAACTTTGTCATTTTCTTAAAACTTTTTTTAATTATTTTATTTTAATCCAAATAATTCTGAACCATCCTTCATTATTTTTTTTTGTTTTTTTCTTTAAGATTTTCCTGATTTTATATTTTGGGATGTGAATTTAATAGATTAACACAATTCGACACAAGTTTTTTCTTTAATAATTTTTATGATTCGGGTCACGAGTTTAAAATATTATTTTAAGTCAACTTTGTCATTTTCTTAAAACTTTTTTTAATTATTTTATTTTAGTCCAAATAATTCTGAATCATCCTTCATTATTATTATTTTTTTGTTTTTTTCTTTAAGATTTTCTTGATTTTATATTTTGGGACATAAATTTAATAGATTAACACAGTTCGACACAAGTTTTTTCTTTAATGTCTTCTAACAATTTTGACAATTACTAATTTTTGCAATTTCTTTATGTTCATTGATTTTTTATTTACTTGTTTTATCATTTACAATTGATCCAATGATTCAGATTTTAATTATTTTCTTTTAATTTTATAAATTCACTAAGTTGTTTTAAATCAATCGACTCAGTAATCTGATTCCCAAAATTTTAAAACTCCTGTAACGACAATTGCTTCACCTGAGAATTTTTTCTTACAATCTTCGGCGGCGTATAGCGAGCCAAAATACATGGTAGTTTGTGAAAAACCATCGTCGTCGCCATCAAATTCGTCTCCACAATCATAGTCAAACAGTGATCATATTCTACACCTGTATCCTATAAAAAACCACTCTATGCAACAGATAGAATTTATATATTCATTGATCTTCTTATCAGTCAAACACAACCATGCACCAAAACAGATGTACTCTTTTTATGGGTTTTAGCAGCTCTCTCTTACAAGGTTCCATTTTCAACATCCAGCTTTTGTTCATATTCTGTCGGAATGGATCGTTCATGTTATTAAGTTGATATTTATACGTAAAAACTGTTGTTAAATCGGTGAGTGGTCATTTAATAAAGTCGTGGAAAACTGGAGGCCATTCGACAGCAGGCATTATTTTGCAAGAAAGTCAACCGATGAAGGAAGCTCTTTATTGTCGATTAAGTCCCTTTAAATGAGATTTTATTTCTTTATTGATTTTTGCTACCTGATTTGATTTGAATCTAATCAATTTGAAGCTCCAGTCTCCTTGATTCTTTCTTTGTTTTGGTGATTAATCTTCGCTGTTCATGCTGAACTACTATAATATAAGTTAATTTAAATATTTGGATTTTACCATTTAAATTTTAGTTGTATGATTTTTACTTTTTGTTTCAAATTTAAAGAGCACCTTACCATTCAATCCATAATTTATCTTGGAAGAGATACAAGAGGTGTATTCTCCGCGTGGTTTCTTTTTTTTAAAGGTTACTCTATTGTAACAGACTTGTTTAATGTTCATTTCCAATATATGCTGTTTGATCTGGTCTTGTGAGTTAGTAAGCCTTTCTAGTTAATAGAAAAATATTTTAATTTGTTTAAAAATGTAATTGTAATTGTTTTTAAAAATATTTTCATTAAAATATATATTAAAATAAAAAAATTATTATTTTTAAAACATAAAAACAAATAGCAGCGCACCTTCTCCTTCTGCTTGCCTGGTTACTCTACTGATAATTAAGGGGAGGATGGGAA